CCCCCCACACACACACACACACACACTACACACTCCGCTTGCCCACACCTGCACAACCACACCAAATAATGATATCACAGATCTGTCTTTTGAAGATTTGTAAGGTGCTTTGATCCCTGCATGCACGCATGCCTGCACAAGCACACACACAGTGCCACATGTCAAAATGCCATTTTGAGAATGAGCTGATTTTCTACTTTCAGTAAAGGCTTATTTTTTTAAGGCACACTGTAAAAACACAACTACCAAAATTCAGAACACACACATGAAAACTATTGTATGGAATCTCTAAATAACACACAAACCATTTTTTTGCAAAATATGTGCTATAATGAACAGTCAGAGGTAAAGAAATACAGCAGAATCATTCAATTCAAATGCAGTGTCAGTCATTGCCTGCTATATATGGAGAAAATACGTTATCTAGTGGAAACGGTAAAACTAAACATTGAATGTGTGACTGGTCTGGGAACACAGACAGAATAATAATGTTAAAAATTATGCTAATATTCATGCTTATTATAAAAATATGATTTACATGGAAGTCAATGGCGCAAAAAAAATGCACAAAGATGCTTAACGCTACAAAACAAATTCTGCATGATAATTAAGGGAGTTGAAGATTTTTTCTAACTATTTTTAGTAATTACTCCAAAAATACACATCCTCCCCAAAAATTACATAAACTTGCATTAACATAGCCAAAGTTATTCACAAAAATACAAACGTCAGCACAAAAAAAATGCTTTAATGTGAGGTATGGGTTACACATTTTTAAGTTTTCCCTCAGTAGAGCGTCTCTCTCTCTCTCACACACACACACACACACACACACACACACACACACACACACACACACACACACACACACACACACACACACACACACACACTAAATTTGACCAAAGCGGCTCTTCCTTACCTAATGATGATCTTCCAATCCAATCCAATTTTATTTATAAAGCGCATTCACAAGGCATTACAACCAAACAAGGCGCTGTACACTAAAAATGTTGGTTAATTAAACCGGCGTTATACAAACATGTCGAACACAGATAAAAGATAAAAAGGAAATACAACAAAATTCCCAAAAATAACAGCTAAAAATCAATAAGACACAGGGAGAATAAAAATAGGAAAAAAAAAAAACATTTTACAAAGAACCTCAATAGTACGGAAGTCGATAATTGTGGAGTCCATTTTTAAACAGTGCAGATGTCAGTGAGGTCCATAATTATGTTGTATAAGCTAGGTTGAAGTAGTATCTTGATTATTGAATGTTGAGCTTAAGTAGCGGTTCATTCCTGAGTGAGTGTACGCGCCGTTTTAATAGTTTAATAAATGTTGTAAACAATCAAAACCGTTTTTGCTCAGTCTCAGACCGATTAAAACGTATATTTTGTTTGCTGATAAAGTGAAGGGGAAATGTGCAGCTGTGGCTAGGATGTAGCTCACCACCACCAGCGTGTGGATGTGTGTCGGTGTTGTAAAGCGCCTTGGGGGGTTGTAGAACCCTAGAAGGCCCTAAATGAAATACAGACTACTTACAGGGCCGAGGAGGTGATTCGTTAAGATTCAACGTAAAAAACCGAGAAGAAGCGTTGGTTTACTTAAAGATGCAGTGCTGGTTTTGTTGTCTCCTGTTTCTCCTCCCTCCCCAGACACACCGGAAATAAGGAGATAACAAAAGTCTAAATGTGCTGATTTACATAGGAAAGCAGGTCAGAGACGGGTTGCCACATTCAACAGCAAGCTAAACATAAAGATCACAGTCACATCGCGACCGCTCGGATCATAAATCGGCGCTTTCTAACATTTTGAACGGTCTTTGTCCGATTGTGGTCTCTGCCTGAATGAAGCCTTCAGGGAGAACACTGGGGATGTAGACAAATACCCTCACAAGACCCGTTCCTCACACCTGCTCCAGTTGAACGAAGTGTTTTTCTTGCACTCCAGATGCGTCGGATGAGGTGTTGCTGTCCAGCCAGACTCTAAACTCAGTAGAGAACAATCAGGATGAAGGTCTGCTGGGCGGCCAGAGAGGTGCGAAGGCTGGCTCCAATAAAGCACACCCACTCCAGGGAAGAAGCTGCACCCCGTGTTAAATTAGGATTTCGGTCCTGAGTGAGCACCTCCTCTGGAGGCAGCAGTACCCTGGCCAGGTGGTGGTGGTGGGAGGGGGGCAGCCCCAGAACCAGGGTGTTTCTAGTGAGTTTAGGTGGATGCATTAGTAGATCTGCACAAAGAGACAAAAGCAGAAGAAATAAATCTACAGCGATGCACGGACCTCCTACCCCACCCCCGTGTATAGGCTGCTTGGTAAATGAAGGAGCAAAGTCTAAAGTGTATGAATCTAACGCGTGACGGGTAGATGGTCATCAGCAGCTCATGGTTACAAACGAGGTCTGCAGACAGAATCTCAGAAGCTTTGCATCTTCAACAACAATAAGGCGTGCTTTCCAGCACAGGAGGAGGCAGAGGCGGGAAACGAGCCTCTCTACAAAACACTCAGGAGATCAGAGCTGCTGAAAATAAGAATCCAGTCTTCAGGACTGTGGAAAGCCTTCAGCACATCACCAACTACAGGAGACCATCCTTCAGTTCTCAGGCTAATTATGGCCTTGCTCAAGAGCTTAAAGTCCATCTTTTAAGTTGATTTAAAATCATAAACATTTTTCTATTTGGTGAAAAAATAAAGCTGATCACACTTTTCAGTGTTTGAATGACTCAGATGTTTTCATTTGTCTTCAGCTGTGTAAAAAAGCTGCTTCAACAGAAATCCAGAACATTTCTGTCCCTGCGACGTCGTGACGTAGGCGGATGAAGCTACACGAGGATACGGTCTGTGGATTTTAATCAAACCTGAAACCCTCACCACCAAACTTCCTCACCTCACTACCTCCTGCTTCATGTGGATCTCCAGCTTCCTGACAAACAGGAACCAGCATGTGAGGCCGAAAGACATAAGCACTGGTGCACCACAGGGGCCAGTCCTTTTCCCACTGCTCTTCTAACTCTTCGTCTTGACATCCAGCTGTCAAAATGTTGACATTTGCAGATGACACCACGGTCATCAGGCTCATCCAGGATGGTGATGAGTCTGCATATCGCTGGAAGGACAAGAGGCTGGTGCTCTGGTGAAGTCAGCACTTGGAGGTGATGTTGTGGATTTGAGAAAACTCCCCACAGCGCTGCCTCCCCTCACAGTCTCTACAGTGGACTCATTCAAGACCTTAGGATCTATCATTTCCCAGGATCTCCATCCCATAAAGGTTCAGCGGAGGATGTACTTTCTGCAACTAAGAACGCATGGCCTCCAACAAGAGCTGCTAAGCATCTATGCTGCGACAGTCGAGCCCGTCCTCCGCTCATCCATTACTGGTTTGGGTCGGCCACAAAAAGGAAAAAGTGCAGACTACAGCGCACAAGTGGGGCAGCTGAAAGAAGTCACTGGCACCCATCTGCCCTCCCTTCAGGACTTGTGCACTACCAGGACCAGGACCAACATCCCACACACCCTGCATACACACTCTTCAACCTCCTCCCCTGTGGCAGGCGCTACAGATCACTGCACACACAACTAGCCGCCACAAGGACCGCTTCTTCCCCGTTGCCTTTATGCTCTTGACCTGTAGACACAGGGTTAGGGTTAGGACCACAGTCTCTTAGCACTGCTACCATCCTGCCATGTTAGCTAACCTTTAGCCAAGCCAACCTTGCTGCTGTAGCACCTTACGACAGCATAAAACCGACCAAAGTGCGTCACAGAATTCAAATGCATTAAAATCAACACACAACATAAAATTGCATAAAAACTCAAACGAGAAGGTAAAGACTCTCATGCCGAGTTAAAGGCCAAAGCATTTAAAATACCTTCCGTCTTTTTTATTGTTTTATCGACCCTAACCCTTCTTTCTTCACAACAGATGTATTCTCGTTTATTTGTTGTTTGTTTAGAGATCCAACATCCTAGCCTGGCCTGCCAGACTCCTCTGTTTGATTCTGCTCAGGGAAAGGATCTGGGAACCCTCCTGTTCAAATAACCCCGCCCCCTGAGATTTCTAACCGAGCCAATCAGCGCTCAGCAGCGTACGTCACACACCACAATGCCGAGTTAGTCATAACCATGGCGACTGAACCGGCGTTCGCTGCGGCTCTTTCCTCTGGTCTAAATGACTTGGATGTCTTTAAAACAAGTAGAAGCGCTAAAAGCATTTCTGCTAAAACAATAAAAGATGTCTGCACCGTCGCCCGACACCATTTTTTACTACATCTAAATAACTACAGCGTCGCACAGTACATTTCCGTCTTTTTTCTGATTGGTTATTTTGAGCTGGCTAGTCCCGCCCCTCGTGTGCCGCTCTGCCTGTGAGTTGCCGGACTCTCTCTCTGTGCAGAGGTAAACAGGACGAGTCTGGCAGGCCAGGCTAGCAACATCTACCAAAACCAAATATGCAAGAATACTTGGCCAGAAAACCTGATTCTGATTCTGAGAGATGGACCGATTTCCACAATTGATGCTTGTAACTATTCAACACAGTGGCAGAGGAGTCAGGTGCCCGACCCTAACCCCGGAGGGTTGCGGGTTTACGTGCCACTCTGTCGCAGTCGTGTCCTTCACCTCCGCGCCCGCTGGTGGTGGATGGAGGCACCAGTGGCGCCTGTGCTCGGCAGCCTCGTATCTGTCAGTGGGCCCCAGGGCAGCTCCGAGACAACCGCTCAACGCTGGCAACCCTCCCTCTCTACTGAACAAGGACAGCCTCTTTCGCAGTTTCTGGCTAATATCCTGCAAGGACACGACGGCGACAGAGTGGGGCACAAACCCACAACCCTCCGGGGTTACGGGGCACTGCCACAATCGCCCCGCAAACACAAAATATTGTAACTCTCCAATGAAGTACTTCACCGACGTCAGCACTAGTAGCGACTTCCTTACTTGACCATCCACAAGGGCGTCGCCTCTGCTCCGTCTTCTCTGGTGCCAGAAATACATCAGAAACCCAGTTAGCTGCAAGACGTTCAGGAGGACAGAAACTACAAGGAAGTCGTATGACGTCTTTGTTCCTGTAAGGATCGGAGAAATCGTCCATTAATATTGTTGTTAGATTCACGCTGACCACCCCAAATGTGCTTGTTTACCTTTACCTTTACCTGTGAGTGCTTCAGGTGCAGCTGTGGAGACAAAGACATCTGATTACCAACAGCTGCTTAGCATTTCTATCAACTCTTCATCACGAGTCCAAGAGTCTAACAATTCACTCCTTTTTTGGTTTGACGCATTTATCATCGTAATAATATTGTAAAAGAATATTAATAATACTGTCATTTATCTTTTTATCCAAACATCTGCAGGTTTTAGGTTTATTTAGTTCATGCTTCAATAACAAATGGGACTGAACTGTTCATTTCAATCAAAGGATAAATCGTTTTATCGTGTGTGTTTTGTCTAGTTTTAGGAAAAGGTCGAGTTCATCCCCAAAAGCAAACGGAAATGTATCAATTTCATAGTTTCATCGTTCTTTTATGTATTTTCATTCACCGCTGATAAATAATAAATGTTCTCCTTTGAGAACCAGTTTCCTTCTCAATGCATTCAGTATAATCAGCAGATGTTCCTCTTCATGATTTACAAGCAGGTATTCTCACAATCAACCAATCAACCAATCAATCAATCAATCAATCAATCAAAGCTTTATTTATAAAGCGCCTTCCACAACCCTGTCAGGAACCCCAAAGCACTGAACATGGTTCAGTTGACGATGAGGGTGCTAGGACTGAGAAAGCCCGGTCCTCGCGAGTACGACACCTAGAACGAGGGACAGCGAGCAGGCCTTGGTCAGAGGAGCGCAGCGCGTGTGATGGGGAATGTCTGTTCAGGAGTGTGGCTAGATAGGGGGGACCACCACCCTGGAAGAAATTGTAAACAAAGACGAGGAGTTTGAATTGTGCACGATAGCAAACCGGAAGCCAGTGCAAGGAGGCCAGAACCGGACTGATGTGGTCTTGTTTCCTCCACAAAAGCTCCAGTTAAATCTGACAACAGCTCCAAAGTGAAGCGCGTGCGGCCCTCAGTGAGGAAACGATGGATTCAGACACACGAGCAGCTTTTTCTTCAAAAGGAGAAGAAAATGTTGGTTTCTTAAAATCCAGCTGGAGGTCAAATCTCAGAAGGAAAGATGGAGGATCTGAAAATCAAGGTGCAGAGCAGGACCTCGGCTCTCGGGCCTGCAGGAGGGCGGAGGTCTCGTGTTAAACACAGAGTCACCGTTTAACCATCAGGAAGCTGTTAAGCAAGCCAGGATGAAATTCTTGGCTGATGTTGTAGAAACAAACTCACGATCCACACCGGTACTGGAGTCTCCTGGTTCTGGTTCTTTGCCCCCAGCAGTTAAAAACTGTAATCACTTCCTCCATTTTTTCACTGATAAAGTTGTGACTATTTGAGCCGCCATTGTGGGTTCCCCTCCTCTCTGTGGTCCCGGTGCCGCCCCGAGCCACACTGAGACCGTCTCTGAGCTAGAGGAGTTGGTCACTCAGCTGAAGCCATCTGGATCTCCTCATGATGATCTGCCCTCTTGAATCTTTAAGGAAGCATTCCTGGTCCTGGCCCCTTTTCTTTTGTTCATCATCAACAGCAGTCTCACCTCCAGTGTTTTTAGCTAACTACAGGCCCATCTCGAAACTCCCTCTCCTCTCAGAGCTGCTGGAGACAGTCGCGTTCTCACAGCTGCTGGATTTTCTGAACACACCTGAGTTATAAAAGACGTTCCAGTCAGTGTTCAGGGCTGGTCCCAGCACTGAGACCACGGCTTTAATTGTGCTCAGCGATTATTTTTAGACAGTGACATGGGTGATGCTGTTGCCTTGCTGTCATTGGATCAATCTGCAGCTTTTGACATGGTTGACCACTACATCCTTCTAGACCCACTGCAGCACTGGGCGGAACGCCGCTGGGATGTGCCACAGGGCCCTGCCCTCGGTCCCCTTCTGTTTGTGGTATATCTCCTACCCTTGGGGCTTCTCCTTTGTCGGCATGTTGTGAAATTCCATCTTTACATTGATGATTGTTATTCTGGCGGCGTCCATCTCTCCACTTCTGGACTGTTTGAAGCCAGGTGTACACTGTGCGACTTTTCAGAGCCGATTTTCCCCTGGTGTGAGAATCCTTGAGATCGGGGCGAGTTTTGCGTCATGCGTCAGGTAGTACACAGGGGGTAACGAGAGGTGATTAATAACAGGGGCATTAGATCCTGGATGGCTTCCTAACTTTTTTAAACTTTTTTTTCAGAACAAAACCAAAACTGAAGTCATAATTCTCAAAGCCGGGAGAAAAGATGGCTCTAGCTCTGATCTGGCTCTGATGTGGATCTTGGCCCTTTGGAGCCATTTGAAAGAATGGCCAAAGAAAGTTGTCAGTAATCCATCCATCCATTTTCATCCACAATCTGGGGATACAAATGGACTCAGCCCTTAAGTTTGAGGCACATATTAATATGGTTGTGCGGTTCGGTTTAACCATCAAAATCAGGTCTAAAGTACATAAGGCGCAGGTCTAGCGCCTTTGGGGGATGCCGTGTTTTCTTCTGGCCAGCTCAGGGTTCTGCACCTGTTGATGACGTCTCACTAGATGTTTGGCTGGACGTACAGAAGTTACGTTACAATGTTCAACAACATTTAAGAAACACAAGTTTTATAACAAAACTGCTAAACTCTTTCCAAAACCTATGTGAAAGAACAGAATCGAAAAAGAGATGGAATATCGTTTGGCCGAGCGGTATTGCTGTAGTATGATGACGTCATCAGCAGGTGCAGGACCCCGAGCAGCCATTCTGCTGACAATAAGATCAAACTTGTAAAAAAGAAAAAAGGAAATATGTCTTTAACCATATATGGGTTCGTGTCGCTTTAAGTGATCATTTTAGTTTGACAACAATTTTATTTAAACTCTATTGAAGAATTGACAAACATTAAGAAAGTGATCTTACCACTTTGGTGACGCCTGTCTGAAGAAGCGGTACCTTTGGCTGGAGTTGCAGCTGACTGGGTGGGTGTTTTTGTTTTCGATGGCAGCGGGGTGGATGTCGTTGGGGTGTGTGTTGGTGTTGGACCTAAACTTGCAGAGAAGTAAGTTGTTAATGCAAAAAGCAAAGTCCTAAAGAATGCAGGAGCATTAAGCTGATGGAATTAACTGATGGACCATCAAAGTCTGAGTCATCTGTACTCAGTT